AGTATAGTCGTCGTCCCGCATTTTAGTAGTTGATACTCCACTATAGTTTATGTTCTAATTCAAATATTAGAGTTTTATTTTCATATTGTAAAGGCAGCATGTCTTAGTATGATTTTCAGTTGATTCATGTTGAGATATTTTTATTATTCCATATATCAGATGTATTTTAGTTGAGACCTGATTTTTATTTATGAGATATCTCTTTCTATATCATGTCTATTATTTTTATTTCCTTATTTTGCTTGTTTTCTACCTGCACTTATATTTGATTTCACTAGAAGATATTATTATGACTGGTGAAACGTATTTGTGCACAGTATGAGTACATGGCAAATTTGACATCTCTAGATTTACCTTGAACTGTAACCATGTGTGAAACTAGGGGCGTTACAGTAGCACCCTTCTTCTTAATATTCCACGATGAGCAGCCATTAGAAATTAGTCATAAGATTATTCGGTGGCTTTCTAGAAAACTAAGCTTTCTAGAAAACTAAGGATTTGAAAAAGCTAAGGTTTTGGAAATCAAACTAAAGAAGAAAGAAGATAAATAGTTCTATTTATAGGCTGACCCCGAACTTTGCTAAAGATTTTCACCCTGAGTTTCGCCGTGAAGCTTGCCGTGAACTTTGGCAAAGATTCTTGACTTTAACTTCACTAAGAATCTCACTCTAAACAACTTTTGCCACTATGTCAAGCACAACAATTGAGGATTTGAATTTTAATTCCTTATAGCAAGCCTCGCATAACAGACTTGCTGAGCCTCGCATAACAGAATCACTAAGTCTCGTTTAACCTACTAATTGAGCTTCGCCCAGTCGGCTGTTACTCAAGTGAATGAACTTCACCATAATCCATTGGATGCTGAAGCAAACTTCACCACAATGACATGTAAAATTTCTCCAAGTCTCTAAATTATGAAAAATATAGACCCTACCTAGCGGACTTTAGTTCGACTCTCACCAACATAAGGAAGCATGAGCTTCGATTCAAACATGACAACTCCATGCAAAGTTGAAGTCTACCACAGAAGTAAAGTTTATGCAGATCAAGCACAGAATAATGGACAATTTCAAAAGAATTTTTTTATTTATCGAACACTCTGCTATATTAAGGCGACATTCAGGCTATCCAGCTATCCAGTCACAGGGATGATGGGTATTCACTACTATTTGCTACTCCAACCTTAACAACAGTCACAGAGGCAAGGAAAAATTAAATTCAAGAACATATCCTATACTCCTAACTATGAATAATGAGAAGGAAAGGGAGTATACAAGAGCTACACCAAGTACTAAGCCTTTGTTGCCCTGATCTCATAGAAATTAGGGAATAAATTATTTTCTTATGCAAAAAAATAGCTCTGATCTCATAGAAATTAGGGAATAAATTATTTTCTTATGCAAAAAAAATAGCTCCCACTTACTCCTCTCTAGGCCTTATGCTAGGAGATGAGAAAGAGTTGTTAAACAAGAACTACCCATGTTGATCCGAAGTGGAACATATCAAGAAGAAGATGACGTCTTGTAAGCAAAATTTGATGTTGAGCTTGAGATAGTCAAACGACATCTGGTTACGTTGTAGGTTCACATTCATGAAACCTAATCATTATCGGAGTCCTCACTTATGGAGCTTCAAGGATTTTTCTTCAGCCGCTATCTCAATGGTCGAACGGTCTTATGCAGAGCATGGCACTCGAAGTTCCAAGTGCCTCTATCGCGATTAAATTTGTCCTAAAAATAATCCTTGAGAATCTGCTCAAGCTTGGACTTCTTAGCCGATAACAAAGCCACCAATCAATAAAGTATGTGGAGTTTGTCCACTTGATTGCCCCTTGCTTGAGCAAGCTCCTGTTGGAGCTATTTTATTTTAGCTCTTCTATTGAGGACCATCTCCGATCTAAAGTGACAAAGACTTAGACTTAGACATAGAGGAGATGGAGATGAAGAATTAGGACGATAATAGAGCTATTTATAGCATTTTCCAAATCCAAACTTCTAAAAAATCACATCTTTTAAGATATTATTAGACTAAGCAAAGAGGCTAAATCTTAGCCTAAAACTCGATAAAATTTATAAGATATATTGTGAATCTTTGACCAAGAGATGACAGTCGCAGATGTTACGAATCTAAAGGCATAATCTCAATTACCATCGCCAATTAGCAAATGTTGCTAATCGACAAACTTCGCCCATATAGCTAAAAGTAATGTGAATCCCAATGATATCCAGAACTAGCCGAACTTCGCTAATTTCTAGACTTTGCCCCAATAATAGGGCAAGCAAACTTCATTCCAAGCACTAAATTGGACGAGTACAAGCATTATTGAGCCTTCAACACTGGTCTACAGTAAATGAAGCCATGTTTAACAATACATCTCTGGTAACCAAGTAGATTGAAGAAAACTTTCAACCCAAATAAGACGAATCAAGCTACGTTCAATAGTACACCTCTAGCTATTACCCAAAGCACTTCAATCCCTGCTGCAAGTCAAATGCAGGATCTTGATTTTTTTTTTTTTTGGAGGGGGGGGGATTGTAGACTGTTAAAATATATTCTATCTAAGCCAATGTTCAGCTTAGATCCACGAACTGGACGACTATGTGCTAAACACTTTAAATAGGCCCAAAGTCAATCCTACAATAGGCTACAGCGAAGCACGCTCAAACAAGCACGCAAATATCACTAAACGACCCACTTTGGGTCAGACCAAATGAGTCAAGAATAAGCCATGCAATGTTCATTGTTTGGTATTACCAAACTTTGGCCACATCTACCCACGTGGGCCATGTTACCCATGATTCAAAAGTGATGGCCCACCCATGTCCAAGTGTGCCTCGTCCAAACACTTGAGCTTTGCTAACCAATTAATTAGCGAAGTTCGCTAATTAGACATTTGAGAGCTATTGTCAAGGAGATAATCGCTCCCACACTATCTCTTATTTTAATGGCCACTTAATCCATAATTAAAGGCCATTACCTCTCTCTCTCTCTCTCTCTCTCTCTCTCTCTCTCTCTCTCTCTCTCTCTCTCTCTCTCTCTCTCTCTCTCTCTCTCTCTCTCAGAGGAGGATGAGATTGTTCATTTAGAGGATTACCAGCTAAGAGATCGAATGCCCTCATAAACACGCGGAATTAACATTTTCTCTCCTTCTTTCTAATATGCGGTTCCAATAAAAGACTAAGCAAGCAACCAAATTAGAGATCAGCATCAAGAGACTCATCATCTTCGCTGGACCGTTAATGGAGTACAAGATCGACGCTCCATCGGCACAGAAAATAACACAGGAAATATAAATTTTTTTATTTCTCTTTTTATTGCTGCCAGAGCTAATTACAATACAAAAGACCCGACACATATAGCTTAACTGCACGGACTGTTCGTATAAATTTTCATGACTACAGCATATGTTACCCTAATGAGTTAAACCAAAAATAATACAAACAGACATTAGTGCTGATTGAGTGATGCATCATAAATATTTCTTACTTCAAGGTTTCTCCCATTCATGACTTCGCTCTCCGTTCCTTTAAAGAGTTTACTTTGTGTCTCCACTTGAAATTCTCTTTTGGAGAGGGAAAATTTCTCAGTGTCATATATAAACACAATGACAATACCTATTAGGAGAAATTAATATTGCAATGTTGAAGTTATTTCTTGAATAATTATACTAGTGACAATTCTCTTGGACTTATATATCGATTGATAAATATGCGTTTAATATGTCAATGCAGTTTCTAGATAGGAGAAAGTTTGTGCAAGTCGTTTGTCACTGCTGCTAATAAACAGAGTCGAACGAGACTTACAGAGTTTGGAATGAATTTTGTCTAGATTAATAAATTTGATAGGAGAAATAATCTAGATAGGAGAAGATCCATAATGTGCTCTATATTTGTTTGTTCAATTAAGCATTTAGTTGAGATATTTGATCAGCAAATACAACTCTCATTTGGACGTGGTGAAAGATTTCTATGATAGACGGAGGAGCATGCATCTCATCGAGGATCAAGTGTACTTGTTAGGAATGAGAAAGGCGAAAAAAAAAAGTCAATAAGAGTTAAATAATTATAATAATATATAGTAATAGTAATACATTCTAGAACTTAAGAAGATAAAAGTCGAGAAATTTAATATTGTACATATTCAATGACATGCTACAAAAACTTTATCCATTCTACAAATTCAAACATTGCTTGTATCCGTTTGATATTTCCGAAGGTTGAGGAATAGGAAATCTTGGTGGAGAATGTGTGGTAAATAAAGAATTAGTGCCTTTATGCTTTCTGAAATTTTTTCAGTAATGATCCGCTTATCTCAGAGGCAAATACTGCAAGTACCCATGTTATTTGATTCACCCTCAAGTTCAGATAAGTGCGGGTTTTCACCTAGAACATTAGTTTTTTAGATTTTTTTTTTTATGATTCTCTCGAAAAAGTGTATTCTAATCACCTAAGAAAAGTATGGTCTTTCATTATTGCAATCTTAAAAAAAGATGAAAATAGTATACATGAGTTTATTGCAAGCTACCATCAAAATTCAGTGGTCCAGCTCTGCCAACCATATAAATTTCGCAAAAGGTGATCAAACTAAAAGCAAGCCAAGGGCCCCAGCCGCCAGTCGAGGACAAATTTCCCATTCTGAAACCTCAACGCGCACAAAATTACAAATTCCCAGCCAACACGTTAACTCGTTCCTATTCTACGCCTTGGCTGGCTGCTCACAAAGCAGTTTATCAGAAAAAGCCCTCTTAAGTTGAGGGGTTATCAGAAAACTGCCTTCAACTTTAAGATTATTCCGTAAAACCTCCCTAACAACGTTAGGTGTAATTGTCACATTTGGTAGGTAAAAATTTTCAGTGAATATTTTTACCAATGAAAATTGTAGTTCATGCTTCTAGGGGGCTTCTTTGAAAAACAAAGATGCAGGGTTTTTTTTTATATCCCCAATGCTTGGGGGGTTTCTGAATGTTATGAGGGGTTATCTGATAATTGTCCAACGTTAAAGGGTTTTTCCCCTGAAAATTAGGCTACGAATCATCTTCATAAATTAGCCGCGTTTGAGTCATAAATAACAAACAGATATAAGAAGCGTGCAATTTCAAATCCACAATGCATTCCCACCAGAAAAACACTGCTCAAAGACGTTGTTGAATACCTCCACAAAGTCAATAAGATCACCCACATGCCACCTAAATAAAGCAGCACGCTCATTACCAAACTTTCTCCTAACCCCTCTTTACTCTTCTCTATATCAACTCGATCCCACCTGATCCCTTCCTCTTCATCTTCAACAATAAGCGTACATACATGTAACTAGACTAAAGCCATGCCTCTCAACCGCCTTTGCTTCATCCTCCCAGCCGACTCTGACGAGATCGAACCACCAGCGCAGACTCCAAAAAAACACCGAGATATCGGTATCCGCTGTAGGGTTTCCGCCGCTGTCCACCGGACTTTGCACTGGTTCTGCAACCGGCGATGGCACGATATGTGCCTGTGTTTCGCCTACAACCCCTCGATTCACCATCAGGATTCCTCCCGGTTCGAGGACATTCATGGCATAGACGATGACCGCAACAGCAAGAAGGTCACGGGCAGCACAAACCCAAGAACCTTCAGCTACGCTGAGCTCTACATCGGAACCAATGGCTTCAGCGACGATGAAGTACTAGGAAGCGGTGGTTTTGGCCGTGTTTACCGTGCAGTCTTGCAAGCGATGGCACGTCGTGCTGCGTCAAGTGATAGTGGCAGGAAGGCCCGGAGACCAAGTTTGAGAGAAGACGTTTTGCAGCTGAGCTTGACGGGTGGCTGCTCGGACGCAGCTCCCGCCACCGCGAGATCAGTTGTTATCGGCTAGGGGATGGCACTGTGTTCTACCGAATAACCAGCTGCTCTTTGTTTACTGATCTACATGCCCAACACTAGGTCTCTGCGACCGGCTTACCTCTTGCTCAGCCCTCATCGCCAGCCCCACCGCTCAGTTGGGACCGAAGGAGGAAGATTGTGTTCGGACTTGCAGCTGCTCTTTTTTACCTTCATGAGCAGCTCGACACGCAAATCATCCACCGGGATGTCAAGACCAGCAATGTGATGCTGGACTCCGGCTACAATGCCAGGCTCGGTGATTTTGGCCTAGCTCGCTGGCTCGAGCACAACCAGCTTGGGATCTCAATGCGGTCTTCAAAGTCGGTTAACGAAGAAAACTACCAGTTCCGGTTAACTGAGACCAGCCGAATTGGGGGTACAATTGGATACCTTCCCCCTGAGAGTTTCCAGAGGAAAGGATCAGCAACTACCAAATCTGATGTCTTTAGCTTCGGCATAGTGGTACTCGAGATCGCCACTGGGCGACGGGCGTTAGACCTGACATACCCCGATGATCAGATCATCATGCTCGATTGGGTGCGACGGTTATCAGATGAGGGCAAGTTATTGAACGCCAGTGATCAAAGGTTAGAGGATGGATCCTATCCGCTATCAGAGATGAACAAGCTGATACACGTTGGCCTCCTCTGCTCTCTCCATGATCCCCAATCTCGGCCCACGATGAAATGGGTCATGGAGGCTTTATCAGGAGCCATCAAGCTCCCTGATCTACCATCGTTTCAGTCACAACCTTTGTACATCTCCTTATCATCTTCATCCAACACTACCACTACCACGACGAAGTCCACAGACACTGCCCCATATTTTCTCACCGCTGCCGGCAGCACAATGTTCCTCACCGCTGACAATGGCTGCAACGGTGGCTCGAAGAAAAGTGGTAGCAACAGTGACGAAAACAATGGAAGACGCTCTTTCAAATCCTTCCCCAATGTCGACACACCCCGAGAAATCCCATACAAGGATATCATCACCATCACCAACAACTTCTCAGAATCTCAGATGGTTGCTGAGATGGACTTTGGCACTGGTTATTGCGGCTACTTAGACAATCGCATCCATGTTTTGGTGAAGCGTCTTGGTATGAAAACATGCCCAGCGCTGCGAGTTCGTTTCTCCAACGAACTTAAGAACCTTGGGAGACTCAGGCACCGGAATTTAGTCCAGCTACGTGGATGGTGCACAGAGCAAGGGGAGATGCTCGTCATCTACGACTACTCTTCCAGTGGCCTTCTGAGTCACCACCTCTTCCATTACAAGAACTCTGTACTCGCCTGGCACCATCGATACCAAATCGTGAAATCTCTCGCATCTGCAATCATTTACCTCCATGAGGAATGGGATGAGCAGGTGATACACAGGAACATAACATCATCCGCAATCTTTCTTGATCCAGACATGAACCCCAGACTTGGTAGTTTCGCTCTTGCTGAATTTTTAGCCAGGAATGAGCATGGGCACCATGTCGCGAGCTTGAAATCTTCGGGCGCCAGAGGAATCTTCGGTTATATGTCACCGGAGTATATGGAGTCTGGAGAGGCAACTACAATGGCTGATGTTTACAGTTTTGGTGTGGTTGCGTTGGAGGTTGTTAGTGGACTGATGGCAGTGGATTTCCGCTGGCCAGATGTACTGCTGGTAAAGAAAGTATCCAGCTTTGAAGCAAGCAAGAGGCCATTAGAGGAGCTTGCTGATCTGAGATTGGATGGTCAGTTTGATAGCAAGGAGCTGAAGAGGCTAGTGAAGCTGGGGATTGCGTGCACTCGCTTAGATCCCGAATCAAGGCCAACCATGAGGCAGATTGTCAGCATACTAGATGGTAACGACGAGTTGTTGAAGATATTGAAGCATAAGAGAGAGGGATGTGAAGATTGGGCGGAAAAGAATGCAGCCTCTCTGTCTCTGATCAGGAGAATCAAAGCTCTTGGTATACAGTGAGAGCGGACATATTAATCAGATTGTATCTCATAAATATCATATGAATTGAGAATTCTAGTGTGCTAATTTGATGTCATTTGTTTGTGTTCATGCTTAAGGTTTTGCAAGGTCTTAGATAGTAGCATGAAAATACTTGCAATTTGTAATGAATGAATCAAAATGTGTGAACATGAAAAAACTTGGCAAAAGTGCTATTTTTTTGGTATATTTCAGATTGGCAGAAACTAATTTTCCGTGCATTATAGAATTTCAATGCTAATATGATCTTCGAGAAGGCAATTTAACATATATAGATGACTTCACACCAAAAACCAGGAAGACGAATTTAACTCAAGAAAAAAGAAGTTACTGAAGAGAGTTACCTGTAATTAGTGCATTCTGACCTTTCAGGTGGGCCCAGTTCTCTCTTGCTTCATCTGCAGGAGAAAGGAAAGCTTTGACATTCTAGAGAAATTCTCAAAGCTGAACGTCAGCAACAAAGTAAACATAGATTAAACAACTGAAGCTTCTATTGTAGGCCCTATCTATGCCTTCAAGAATACAAAAGTATTGATTAAAATTCTAGATGCTGAAATATCTAACTATGTCTTAGGAGTCTGATATGTTGACAAAAGAAAAAAGATACCTGGTTTCCAGCTTGATTCCTTGAGGAAGCTGTCATAATGTTGAGGAGATGTTGCAAGTAAGGTGGCCTCAACCTTTCAGACAGCAACCGGACCATAGTCATTAAGCTCCACTATAAGTCATCATGAAAGACAAAAATGACTTGGCAACAAGCCAAATCAAATTCTTGGTATTATTGAAGCACACATCATAGCTCTGATACTTGCAACATATGCATATTACAGGTCCCAAATGCTTAAAACGATGTTAAAGCAAGAACAACATGACAAAGTCCAGCACAGATCATTAATAAGTAATGGTACGACAAAGCCAGATTTCATTACTGACAAATAAATAGTTCTTCACGCAGGAGAGTCAAGTGCCCAAGTTTGCTAGGATTCTTTATTATCATCACTGTCAAATCCAACCCATTTCGTCAAGGCAAAGAGGAACTCTTTAAAGTTCACCTTCCCATCCTTGTTCCAGTCCAATTCCTCTACACTCATTTAGATGATCCAAATAAAGATGGAGTTAAAATGAATTCACTATCTAATCATTTTAAAGATCAAGATCAGAAATGAGATAGAAGATAATACTATATCGTTCCATGGTAACGTGACTGGGAGATTTCTCTCCTGGGGAAACGTCACCGAATGTGAGGATCACCTCCTTCCTTTTGAGCTTGCCATCGCCATTTTTGTCCAGAAATGAAAATGCTTCAACGATTGTATTAAATGTGGCCTCAAGCTTCAGCAATCTAATCCTTGAGATCTGAAAACAAAAAATAAGAATATATGAAGTTTTAAATTTACCGTCACTGCAACCAAGACATGTAAAATAGACAGTACGTGTTATTATGCATACATTTTGGTCAGCAGAGATAGGCTCTATTAGAAGATAGATAAGACAGAGAAGAACAATGAATTCATTAAATTGAATCCCTTCTTTTCCGTCCACATCACAGTAATGGTAAAGAGCATCAATTTCCTTCTTACGAGTATCCACTTGTAGATCACTCAAGCATTTGTTCAATTCTTCATGATCAATAGTTCCATTCAAGTCTCTGTCTGTATTAATGAACACAAACTAACTGGAATCATGACATAATTTAGATATCTAAGAAAAGAGGAAAAATGAAGTACAACAAAATGGGATTTAGACAATGTTAAAGAAGGCGCTAGACAGACTAGGCGTCTAAGCCATCGCCTAGCGCCTAAATACCTAGGTGTATGCCTAGACGCCTAGGCGTTGGATATTTTTTGAATTATGTAATTATAATAATTGATAAAAACATGTGTTAAATTCATATAAATTTACAAAAAAATAGACATCAATCTTAGATCCACAATAAACCATGTATACTCAAATACTAAAGAGCCAAAATAATAACTAACATGCTTATAGAAAACACTATGGCGCCTATGCGTTGGACCCGACGCCTAGAGCCCAGAAGGCTTTCATTTTTTATTTTTTAATTACAATAATTGATAGTGAATGTCAATGCTATAGAAAGCTTAGGTGTAGAACTGGTGTCTAGATGGATTTCTTTCTTTAATTAAGTGGTGGTCGAGGAGGTTTCGCTGAAGGTCGGAGGAGGTACTAGAGGTGTTCATATTTGGAGGATAAAGAAGTTTGAACGAGGTTGGAGGACGTGGAGGCTGCAACATAGAAAATCACGATCAATACCTAAAAGGTGCAATCCCCGTAAGCAGACAATGCTCCTCTAAACACGCCCAAAATCTAAGTGGGCAGCCTAGGTATCGTCTATTTGGACATGGCGGCCGATATGGCGGTTTTATCCCCTAGCCGCCACGATATCCTTCATTTCAATGCGTATTGCGTTTCTGAGGTCATGTCGGGGACATGTCGGAAAATTCGGGTATGTCGGGCGCCATTGCGGCCAAGAAATATCGGCCAAATTTCTAAAAAGACGATTTTAAGCTTATTGGGTCAAGTTTGAAAAACCCGACTCGGAAATCAGGTGTCTACAATTGGTTAGTGATCTTAACATCAATAAGTTATGTACTTTTTCATGTTTAGACAATATAATTATCATGTATGTGAAGATTCTATTTATGATATTATATCAACCTATCCGATATGGCAATCCGATATTTTTTTTCATGTCCCCGATATATCCCCGATTTCCGCTATCCGACATGAATTTTGGCCAACCGACATGAACCCGACATCCGACATTTAAAACATTGGGTCTAGGTACCACCTAGGGCTAGCCTAGGCAAAGGCTTTTTAAAATAGTGGATTTAGATACACCCATATCAATAGATTTCTAAGTGTAATACCTAACTAAAAACGTCCAAGTAAGGACCGCATTGGGGATAACAAAGAATTATTGTTTCATTATTACAGGAAAATTGTTGAATTAGAGAGTACTTTATATATTACTTGCACCATCGATTAACTAAAGCCGTTTAGAGGTTCTTGGAATTTTCCTATTTAGCCCACCCATGCTGATTAGCAACTTCTTTTGTTATCACACTTCTTTGAAGGAAATTTTTGTTTTTGATTCATGACAAAAAGAAATTAAAAGGCATAGTTCATGAGTGTCAACCAGGCATGCTGTTCCACTTGCCGAGTGGTCAAAGCAAACAAGGGCCTAGAATTGGAATAAGTGTAACCAAATACTAGCCCAGCCCTTTATGTAATGCTTTGACAACGAGATCAAACCAAATAAAGAGCAAACAGGAATAAACTCACCATATATTTCAAAAATTTCTTTAACGTGCTGTAACCCTTCTTTGAATTGAGGAAACCTCATGATGATGCTATTGACTGATTTAAAACTGTTCTGTCTTGATGCAGCTCTCTGCCTAATTGATTCGACTAATTTCTTTTCAAGCTCGTGAACTTGCTGCTTATGTTTGCCTGCCGAGTTGCAACCAAAAAGTGCAATTCCCACTTTGTTTAAGAAAAATGACTTCAATGAATGGAATGGGTGAAACAATCCTGAAAATATAATACAGTATTCTCATAAATAACATGCTGGAGAACATCTTGGAAAAAGCTACCACAGGCATCTAAGTCATGCTGGCAAGCAGTTAAGATGAACAATGAGAACCACATTATTTTCACTTCTATCATGTACTACCAATAAAACTGCATAATTCAAATATTTTTATACGTGTACGAGTTCACTCTCCATGTATCAGGTTGGTTAAGCCCAGTCAAAGAAACCAAGTAGCAAAAACCTACAGGTTACAAAATCTGATACGAATTTGGACAGTATAGAGACCAAAAACTTAATTCCAAAATTTTTATCAAACCAATCTCAGATTGATCTTTTGCTAAGATAAAGCGAAGAACCTGAAGGTCATATAACCAAGTGAAGGGCAGTATATCATCCCCTTCGATTCCATGGGTAGTATGCAAATTCAGATAGAGAATGAAAGAAAAGATATGAGCCATATGACAGCGACTTATTAAAAAGAGTTTACCATGAGCATAGCTGAGCTGAACGGAGAAAAATCTATGCACCCAACAGCAAAGATTTGGGATTAAAGATTTGTTGATGTTCTCATCTCTCTTGTGCACAAAGGCACAGTTCAGAGAGGCTATAAATAGGGGGGGTGGTTGTTCATTTGGGGGACTTCTTCTGAAACTTTTGAGAGAGCCGAAACTCTGCCGGATTGTCACCTCAACTCGGAGATCTGAAGGCTTGAAGACTTGGAGACCCGGATTTGATTCTTAGCGAGCACCCGCACCGAAAAAGGCAGGAGTTCGAGAGAGTCTAATCCTCAGATCTACGTCGTTACACTCCGGATCTAAGCTTGGTTCTTAGATCCCGAGATTCGAGCGGTCGTTTCCTTGGTGAAACGATCCCTCCCGGCTATTATCTCCTTGGTGGGATAATACCCGTAATACGTCGTAGATCTGCTTGGATCCAGATCACGCGGTGGTCCACGGTAAGCAACCCCGGCGCAGGCAAACAACCCACAGAAGCAAGAGACCGAATAACAGGATCTTGTGATTTGTTCGGTAAAAGAGAGAAGTTGTAATTTTGATTTCTTTGTTTTATTTTGATTTTCATTATAAGCCGGATCTTATAAAAAGACCGGATCTCTTTGTAACACATAAAGTTGTTAACTGAGTGCAATGACATCGATAATGAAGAAAACACCAACTTTTCCCGCGAACAGAGGTGTATTATAACCGGTATGAAATTCCCCGCATGTTGACCTTGTCGCCGCCAGAGTGATCTCAGGTGGTGTATGACCATAGTGGGGTTATTACTCCGATGTATCTCTGTTACCTGGGGTATGGCCTCAGACTCCAGTGCCATCCTTTCTTCACTCACGTCTTTGAAGCTCTCGGAGTTCCAACCTTTCAAATCAAGTTGAACTCTATTGCTATATTAGTGGGGTTCTGGTGATCTGTCACTAGGTTAGTGTTAACTCAACTCTTTGTATGCTTTGCCACCTTATCAATGTCAAAACTAGGAGGAAGGAAGGGCATTTCTATTTCCAAAACATCGGTGGGTTCAAAGTCATCTCAAATGCTCCTGAGTTGAATAAAGACTTGAAGGAGAAGTTCTTCTGGGTCTTTGGATCCAACCACGTCTTATCTTGCTCGGCTTAGTCCAAGATTGAGAAGGACGTTCTGCAACTAAGTTCCCTTACTGTCGAAGATAGGGAGGGCCTTGAGAAGATTCGAGCCTAGACTAGGTCTTGAAAGATCGAGAACATATTTGATCCTATGGTGCTGAGGGTGGTCAGCATCTCTAGAGATTTGTCATCCCATGATGATACAGCTCGGGTATAAGTCCTCACCCAGCCACTAAAGGAGCTAGACGAGACCTGACTAGGGTCTGCGGCCAGACCCCAGAAGCATTTAAGGTCCGAGCTAGCTCCATCTGAGGATACGGAGGTAGTAGCGAATGCTACTATGATAGCGGCCCGATTGGCCCTACCGGGTGGTGCTAAAGCTCATGTCAAAAAGTATAAGAAGAGAAAATGGCTATGAAGGGCAAGCGACAAAGGTACTCCCAAGACTGCCGAGACGACTCAGGCTAGGAAGGAGGATGTGATCGAGAAGGTCGTACCCCTCCTTGATCAAGAAGCTAGGGAAGGCAAAAACCTTGCCACTCCTTTCATGGCGGTTGCTCCTGGGAATCATAACGACATTGTTGTATTAGGCGAGGAGTGCCTCGCTCGTATCGATGCGGGTGATATGGTGGATCCTATGCCTACTGATGCTCAGGCTCGAGATAAGGAAATGGAACAGCCTACTCCAGTTTGGTTGGTCCACCGAGAAGACAAGGAGCTGGCCATCAAGGAGCCAGTTGCTGAAGAGCATGCTGTCCCAGATTTGGTGGCTGAAGTATTAGTTGCTTATGAGGGCAGTATTAGGTGTCCATTTGCACATGGTATTAGTGAAATACTAGCCACCGACTAGGAGAAGCTGAGGAGGTTGATGATCAGGTTGCCCGTGGCTAGTCTTAGGCATGAAAGGGACCTCCTTTGACCTCTATCTCCTTTAGGACGTCAAGACAAGTGGCGACAAGAAGGTGAAGAGCTGGGTGATGGCTTTGACTATGATAGCTCTACCTAACAAGCCAAAGATGATGAGGAGGTTGAGTCTAACCCCAAGTCATCTCCTCAGCTAACTCATACCATTGTCAGTTCTCCTATTGGGCCCTTATCGACGCCTGCTCTATATTGAACCCCATGAAATTTTATCGTATCTGCTATCTATTTTCTTTGTATTCGATGTAAATATTCTTGTAAATCATTTTGATACATAAATAGAAGTTATATTTTAGCCTTCTTAATTGGAGTATCTCCTTTGTCTATGCTTATGTTTATCTGCAATTTAGTCTCATTTTGAGATTTGTAATTGGAGTGAATTAGCTTCATGCCTTGGTTTTACCTTGAAAAGGTATCAGGGTCTTTCGAGTAAGAGTCGACCATGTTGATGATGTGCCTTAGTTTTACCCTAAAACGGTACCAAGATCTTTCGAGTCAGAGTCGACAGTGTTGATGACGTGCCTTGGTTTTACCCTAAAAAGTTACCAAGATCTTTTGAGTTGAAGTCGACCATGTTCATGACATACCTTGATTTTATGTGAAAAGGTACCAAGGTCTTTCAAGTCATAATCGACCGTGTTGATGACGTGCCTTAGTTTTACCCTAAAAAGGTACTAAGGTCATTCGAGTCAGACTTGATCGTGTTAATGACATGCCTTGGTTTTACCCTAAAAAGGTTCAACGATCTTTCGAGTCGGAGTTGATCGTGTTGATGACGTGCCTTAGTTTTACCCTAAAAGGTACCAAGGTATTTCGAGTCAGAGTCGACTGTGTTGATGACTTGCCTTGGTTTCACCCTGCAAAGGTACGAAGGTCTTTCGAGTCGGGGTCGATCATGTTGATGGCGTGCCTTTGTTTCACCCTAAAAAGGTACCAAGTTTTATCAAGTCATAGTTGACTGTGTTGATGACATGACTTGGTTTTACCCTAAAAAGGTACCAATATCCTTCAAGTCAGAGTCGACCGTGTTGATGGTGTGCCTTGGTTTTATCCTGAAAAGGTACCAAGGTCTTTAGAGTCGGAAGTTTAAGCATCTACGAGTTCTAAAGGCACGACAGAAATATAGCACAATAGAATGGTAACAAAATTTATTTTTCCATGAGAGTCTTACAAGCGAAATTACTAGAAATATTTCTTGAGATGTTCTATATTTGATGTTGTAAGATTCTTCCATCTGAGCTTTGGATTCTATAAGTGCAAGGATGTACTTCTCTGATGACTCTATACAATTCTTCCTAATTGGCGGCTAATTTACCATGCTTTGAATATGTGTGGAAGATCGCTCTTCAAAAGACAAGATCATGAGTGCTAAATCTCTAAGGCCAGACCTTGTTGTTATCATGTTGGACGATCCACTACTGATTGATGATTTGGGTTCTGAGGGGTTTCTCCTGAACTTCGTCCAAGAGGTTGAGTCCGATCGGAGCCCTGTTGAATTCAAGTCATTGTCGAAATGTTGTAGGTGGATGGAAGTCATGCCGCTGATTTCTACTGGGACGACTGCTTTGGCTCGATACGCTAATCTGAAAGGGGTCTCCACTATGGAATTTTATGAGTGGTATGATAAGACCACAAGATACCTAGTAATTCTTCAACCTAGTTCCCGACTGCTTTGTTTATCTTCTTCTTCAAGACTTGGAGTATGCACTTGTTAGCGACCTTAGCAAGCCCGTTACATTTCGAGTGTGCCACTGAAGTGAACTTAAGCTTTATTTTTCATTCTTCACAAAAACTTCGAAAGCCTCTACTATCGATTTGGGTGCCGTTGTCAGTGGAAAATGAGATAGGAACTCCAAATCTGCAGATGATTGATTTCCATACAAAATTGTAGTATTGCTCTCGCCAATTTTGGCCAATACTTAGCTTCTATCCATCTTGTTAAGTAATCAGTGTCAGCAATTAGTAACTTTCCTTGCCTTGAAGCTATGGGGAGTGGTCCTAACAAGTCCAATCCCTAAGAATTGGGCTTATGAGGAGAGTGAGCTCGGTGGCTGAAGCTCGTTATATGCTCGAGAAGAACTGGCATGCTCTGCATTGAAAGACGAGTTGTTTAGACTCAGTTAGAATAGTAGGCCAATAATAACCTTGGCGGATCACATTTTAAGCAAGAGTTCTAGCCCCTGGGTGGTTCGCACAAGTTGCCGCATGGATCTCTCTCAAAACATTGATGGCTTCTATCGGCCAGAGACATTGGAGATAGGGCCCCATACTACTGTTGCAGTATGACATCGATAAAATTAGTTATTGAGTATAAGGTATTTGCATGCATTCCTCTGTAAACTCATTTCTTCAACAACATTCTCTATATGGTCCCCCTATAAGGTATTGGATGAGTGGATCCATCTAACATAGTTTTGTAAAGTTCTCGCATTACATAACTGAGCTTGTTGAAGCTTCCATGATGCTGGGTTTCTTGAGAGTGTCTGTAAATATAGGTCCCGAACTATTTCCAGATCTGGGTAACCTGAGCTTGGATAGGGCACCCGCCCGAGCGTTAAGGGCCTTGGGGACTTAGGTAATCCTGAAGTCCTTGAAGTTACT